ATGTTATTAAAATTATTTTAAACCATGAGGTATTACTTGACATGTTGTTAAAATGATTTTAAAACCATAGTATCTCACTTGTTCTAGGTGTTAATATTATTTTTACCTTCTATTACATATGAAAAGTTATATAAAACATATACTAAGAAGAATTAGGTGCACCGAAATGTTCAAAAAGAATTTAATGATTTATTTTTTAATTTTTATTAATGTGTATGTTAATGTATGTTTGTGAGTGTATGTCATGTGTACCCATGCAGGCCAGAAGAGGGCGCAGATACCCTGGATCTGGAGTTAGAAGTACATGTGAACCACCCAGTATAGATGCTGGGAACAAAACTCAGGTCCTCTGGAAGAGCAGGAAGTACTCTTAACCACTGAGCCATCTCTATAGCCCCTCACAAAGTATTTAAATCTTTAATATAGATTCAAGAGATTGTACTTACAATAAAAAACATGCATTGAAAGAAAATTTAAAAAAGAGATTGTGCTAGGCGTGGTGGCACACGTCTTTAATCCCAGGACTCCGGAGGCAGAGGGAGGCAGATCTCTGTGAGTTAAAGGCCAGCCTGGTCTACATAGTGAGTTCCAGGCCAGCTGGGGCTACAGGGAGACCCTGTCTCAAAAAGACCAAAAAATAATAATAATAAATAAAAAATAAATTCAATCAATCAATCAATCAAGGAAGAAGAAAAGAGTACATGAAGTTATCAGAAAAAAGTGATGGGGAAATATGGGAAGAGTTGGAGGGGAGGAAGTGGGCATGGATTTGATCAAAACACCTTATATGCATATATGAAATTCTCAATAAATTATTTTTTTAAAAAGGCCTAGCACATAAAATACATTCAAATGTAATTAAGTGTACAAATATAAATTTTCTACCAAAATGGATCTAAATGTTAAAAGTGCAAATTTTTTTTTGGTCTTTTTGAGACAGGGTCTCCCTGTAGCCCCAGCTGTCCTAGAACTCACTATGTAGACCAGGCTGGCCTTTAACTCACAGAGATCTGCCTCCCTCTGCCTCCGGAGTCCTGGGATTAAAGACGTGTGCCACCACGCCTAGCACAATCTCTTTTTTAAATTTTCTTTCAATGCATGTTTTTTATTGTAAGTACAATCTCTTGAATCTATATTAAAGATTTAAATACTTTGTGAGGGGCTATAGAGATGGCTCAGTGGTTAAGAGTACTTCCTGCTCTTCCAGAGGACCTGAGTTTTGTTCCCAGCATCTATACTGGGTGGTTCACATGTACTTCTAACTCCAGATCCAGGGTATCTGCGCCCTCTTCTGGCCTGCATGGGTACACATGACATACACTCACAAACATACATTAACATACACATTAATAAAAATTAAAAAATAAATCATTAAATTCTTTTTGAACATTTCGGTGCACCTAATTCTTCTTAGTATATGTTTTATATAACTTTTCATATGTAATAGAAGGTAAAAATAATATTAACACCTAGAACAAGTGAGATACTATGGTTTTAAAATCATTTTAACAACATGTCAAGTAATACCTCATGGTTTAAAATAATTTTAATAACATGCTGACACGTATGTCCCTAAGATCTTCATATAAAGTCAATCTCCAGAGTTAAAAAATACTAAATACTTTTCCTATGAGGGTTGTTCTTATCTATCCTGTTCTCTATTTAGTTTCTGGAGTTCTTTTCCTGATACTATAAAATTTTTTTTCAAAGTGCATTATCTTATATCATCCTAGGAGATGAATACTTAAGAATTTGAAGCATATTAGTCAAGCACAATAGCACATACCTATAACCTCAGGACTTGACAGCTGGAAGTAGGAGGATCAGGTATTCAAGATCAACCTGAGCTATACAGCAAGTTCAAGGCCAACCTGAACTACATGAGACTCTGTCTTTTAAAAAAATCTGGAGTACATTCTTCCAGATCTACTTTCCTACAAAGGCTGACATACATTATTGCATATTAATGGGTGAGTCAAGTCGATGACTTGAGCTTTATTTTTTTTAAATATTTTTTCCATTTTATTACTCTTTGTTTTAAAACTCTTTTTAAAAAAAAGACAGGGTCTCAGGCTGGGCGTGGAGGAGCATGCCTTTAATCCCAGCACTAGGGAGGCAGAGGCAGATGGATCTTTGTGAGTTTGAGGCCAGCCTGGTCTACATAATGAGTTCCAGGACAGCGGGACAGCGGGAGCTACAGGGAGACCCATCTCAGACAAAAAAAAAAAAAAAGACAGGGTCTCACTGTGCACCCCTGGCTGGTCTGGAACTGGCTATGTAGACAAGACTAGCCTTAAACTCAGAGACTGACCTGCCTCTGCTTCCCAAATGCTAGGATTAAAGGGATGAACCACCAAACCCAACTATTTTAAAAGTTTTAAACTCTCATTTTAGTTGCCTTAGATTTTTAATATTTTATTTTTGTTTTGAGACAGGGTCTCCCTGTAGCCCCAGCTGGCCTAGAACTCACTATGCAGACCAGGCTAGCCTTGAACTCACAGAGATCCACCAGAACCCAGGGCCTTGTGTTTCCTAGGCAAGGGCTATACCACTGAGCTAAATCCCCAAACCCCTTAAACTCTCATTTAAAAAAAATTATTTTATGTGTATGATTGTTTGTCTGCATGTATGTGCACTAAACATGTGCAATGCCTGCAGAGGCCAGAAGAAGGCATTGGATCCCCTGGAACTGGAGTTAATGACAGTTTTAACTTCCACGTGGGTGCTGGGAACTGAACCTGGGAACCTGGGTCCTCTGCAAGATCAACTAGTGCTATTAACTGATAAGTCATCTCTCCAGCCCCTTAACTCACTCTCTCTCTCTCTCTCTCTCTCTCTCTCTCTCTCTCTCTCTCTCTTTTTTTTTTTTTCTTTTTGAGAGAGTCTCTCTCTCTCTCTCTCTCTCTCTCTCTCTCTCTCTCTCTTTTTTCTTTTGTCTTTTTGAGACAGGGTCTCCCTGTAGCCCAGCTGTCCGGGAACTCACTGTGTAGACCAGACTGGCCTTGATCTCACAGAGATCCACCTGCCTGTCTCCCAAGTGCTGGGATCAAAGGCGTGGGCCACCATACCCAGCTTAACTCTCATTTTTAATTGCATCCTTGGCTACTAGGTGAAATTGAACATTTTCAGTATTTTTTTTTCTTGTAAATTGCCTACATTCTTTGTATGGATATTTACTGAGGTCTAGTGATTTTACCACCAATTGCCGTATCTATTTAGAGGCTGAGTGTATGAATCTTTCGCAATTTTTTCTTTTCCTTTTTTTTTTTTTTTTGGTCTTTTTCAGACAGGGTCACCCTGCAGCCCAAGCTGAGATCCGCCTGCCTCTGCCTCCCTAGTGCTGGGACTAAAAGTGCATGCCAACACCCATGTATGCCAGCTGCAATTTTTTTGCATATTTTAATTGCATCTTTTAAGGAGTAAACAAGTAGATGCTGGACTCATTATCACTAAAACAAAATACTTTGGAGGGACATAATTTGATATGAATGTTTCTATGCATTTTGGGTTTAGAATTTCAAGTATCATTTATTACTAAAATCTATGACACAAAATAATTTCAATGACATTTAATCCCTGATAACATTATTGGTTTTGGTTTAATTATTTAAAAATGGTCATATATTGCCGGGTGTGGTGGTATACGCCTTTAATTCCAGCACTTGGGGGGCAGAGGTAGGCGGATCTCTGAGTTCAAGGCCAGCCTGGTCTACATAGTGGGTTCTAGATCAGCTAGGGCTACAGGGAGACCTTGTCTCAAAAAAGACAAAAAAAAAAAAAAAAAAAAAAAAAGGTCATATAATTACATTCTTTTTTAAATTTTTTAGATGTTTTAATTAGCATATAATAAATCTTAAATTACATTTTATGTATTTATTCAGTGGGGGGGCACATGTGCCATAGCATACATGTGGAAATCAGAGTGTGTGTGGGAATTAGCTTTCTCCTTCCACAATGTAGAACCCAGAGATTGAACTCAAGTTGTCAGGCTTGGCAGCAAGCACCTTTACCCACTGGGCCATCTCTCTGGCCCCTTAGTAGTATATTACTTACTGAGATCTGCTTGTCTCTGCCTTCCAAGTGTTGGGATTCAAGGCGTGTGCCACCATGCCCAGCCTTTATTTATTATTTTTATTTTATGTGTATGAGTGTATTGCCTGCATGTATGTGAGTGCACCTGTGTTGTGAAATGCTGCAGAGGTCAGAAGAGGGCTTTGGATTCCCCTGGGACTGGAGTTAAGGACAGTTTGTAGCGTCATGTGGGTGCTGGGAATCAAACCTGGGTCCTTTGAAAAAGCAATCAGTGCTCTTAACTACTGAGCCATCTCTCCAGCCCCAGGAATATATATATACTTTTACATCTTTTTCAAAAAATATTAGGCCAGGTGTGGCAGGCAGATCTCTGTGAGTTCAAGGCTAGCCTGGTCTACATAGTGAGTTCCAGGCCAGCTGGGGCTACAGGGAGACCCTGTCTCAAAAAGACCAAAAATATACATATATATATATGCTGGGCTTGGTGGCACACACCTGTACGTCCCAGCACCTGGGAGGCAGAGGCAGGCAGATCTCTGTGAGTTCAAGGCCATCCTGGTTTACATAGTGAGTTCCAGGCCAGTTGGGGCTACAGGGAGACCCTGTTTCAAAAAGACATTTAAAAATTTTAGTTATTATTTTTATTTTATATGTATGTGTATACTGCCTGCATGTATGTAACGCACCCAGGTAGCACAATACTTTTACATCTTTTACAAATTTTTATTAATTTTGAAAGAAATGAAAGGGTGGACTACAGAGTTGGCTCAGTAATTAAGAGCACTGGCTGCAGGGCTGGAGAGATGGCCCAGTAACTGAAAGTACTGACTGCCCTGGCAGATGACGTGGGTTCAATTCCCAGCACTCATATGGCAACTAATAACCATTCATAGCTCCAGTTCCAGGGGATGTGACTCCCTCTTCTGAACTCCATGGGCACTGCACAACACAGATACATTTACAGACATGCAGGCAATACACCCATGCTCATAAAATAGAAAATAGTTTTTTCTTTTCTTGGACTTTTTGAATCAGGGTCTCTCCCCTGTTTCCAACTGGTCTGGAACTCACTTATGTAGACCAGGCTGGCCTCACAGAGCTCCACCTGCCTCTAACTCTCAAGTGCTGGGACTACAGGCATGCACCACCACAACCGGCAAAAGAAAAAAAATTTTTAAAGGAGCACTTACTGCTCTTGTAGGGGATCCAGGTTCGATTTCCAGCACCCACATGGCAGCTAACAAACGTCTGTAACTCCAGTTCTAGGGGATACAATGCCCTCTTCTGACCTCCAAGATACGTTTACATACATGCAGGCAATATACTTGTACACATAAAATTAAAAAAAATAAAATATTTTCTAAAAAAAGAAATGAAAGGGACTAATGGATAAGTAATAGCAACCCAGTCCAGCCCTTTGAAGGAAGGAAGGAAATTCTATTTGGTTTCTTCCCTCCTAGAGAAAGCCCCTCCTTTACCCTGCCTCCTTCTCACTGTCAAGAGAGGCATGCAAAAAATTCAGTACTTGCAAAGTTTAGGGAAAAAATTGAATAGTTGGTCAACAAAGTTACTGCAAATAAATACATCAAGTACAGAAAAAAAATACATAAGTATTTCTTGAGTACATCTACAAAAGTGCAAGAGACAGAGGTAGCATATTTCAGAATACCTCTTAGGGTTAGACAAAGCACTTTCTATTGAATATTGACAAACACACAAAATTATCTTGAAGGGTCAGTTAGATGGTTCAGCAGGTCAAAAAAGGCACTTGCCACCAAGCCTAATGCCCTGAGTTCAATTCTGACACTCACATGGTGGGAGGAGAGAACTGATTCCCTCAAACTGACCTCTGATCACAAGTGTTATGGTGCATATATAGACACAAATAAGTAAATAAATTTAATAATAAAATTACCTTGCAAATAATCTGCCAGGTCTCCACCATTGCAATACTGGTAGGTAAAAGAAAAGGTAATTAATGTCAAAAGTATTTAAAAACACTCCTCTTGTGATTAAAATGACGAATTTTATGCTGTTTTTTAAAACACACACACACACACACACACACACACACACACACACACACAAAGAGGGCCTTCAAAATGGCTTAGCAGGTCAAGGGGCTAAACCTGATGACCAGAGTTGGAACCCCAGGACCCACTTGACGGAAAGAGAGAACCAGTTCTCAAAAGTTATCTTCTGACCTCCACACCTGTACCTACACATACAGAGACACACACACAAAATAATATTTTAAAAAAGAAAATTAAAATAAGAACAGTGATTCAAACTTCAATTTGACCCCTTCTGTTAATTTTAATTTTTAAAATTGTTTGTAAATATAATTTTAAAACATTATAATTACATAATGAAAAACATAAATTTTGTGTTCCTTATAAAGTAGAATCTCATCATTAAATCAGCCTTTTAAATTTAATTAATATTTACTGACAATACTTGTATAATACCTACCTCCATCACCAGAAAGACAGAGTTGGGTAATTCCTAAAATGTAAACATAAATATCACAGAAAATTTTAAACACTGTTTGAAAATGAAAGTTAATAAAATATACTTGTTCATTATGCCATGCGTGGTGGTGCACGCCTTTAATCCCAGCACTCAGGAGGCAGAGGCAAGTTGAGCTCTGTGAATTCAAGGTCAGCCTTGTCTACACAGTGAGTTCCAGGACAGCTGGGGCTACAGGGAGACCCTGTCTCAAAAAGACCAAAAAAAAATTATATATATATATATATATATGTTCATTATTAAATTAATAAACCCACAAAAATCCATCAGAAAGTGAAATTTAAATTCTCAGGCAAGAAGTTTTTTTTCACTTCCCAGCACTGCTGGGGATAGAACCCAGGGCCTTGGTATGCCAAGCAAGACCTCTACCACTAATCTGTACCCCCAGCTCTGTAATTCTCAGCCCGATCTTTTTAGCAACCCCTCAAATAGCACTAAGGCCGTAATCACATTCACTTCTGTCTACATCTACAGAGAATACTAAAAACAAACAGTTCACCTTTTGGTTGTGAATGATGTAAAGCAGTAAGATAAGACTGTGAGCCAGGCGTAGTGCACATGCTTATATTACCAGCACTCAGAAGCCAAAGGCAGGAGTTCCACAAGCTTGAGGCTAGCCTGGTCAACAAAGCATGACCCTGTCTCAAACCAAGCAAGTAACCAACCAAGCTAAATAAATGATAAAGTCACCATTTGTGAAAAGGAAGGCACTTAGGGAAGTGCTTCCATTTGAAAAGTTGGAGTTGGGTAGCAAAATAGCTTATGGTCCTTACTAGCAACACTAGATACACAATCTTGTTTCTGAAACACATGACTAAGATGAACAGGCTTTTTATTTTGTTTTAAATATTTTATTATTTTTATTTTATGTGTATGAGTGTATTGCCTACATGTATGTGAGTGCACCCATGTCGTGCAATACCGCAGAGGTCAGAAGAGGGCTTTGGATTCCTCTAAACTGGAGTTAAGGACGGTTCATAGCTGCCATGTGGGTGCTGGGAATCGAATCCAGGTCCTCTGCAAGAGTAGTCAGTGCTCTTAACCACCAAGTCATCTCTCCAGCTCCAGGGTTTTTTTGTTGTTTTTTAAAAATGTTTATTTAGGACAGTCACATTTTCAATAAATTGTTGGCAAAAGGAAGATGTTACACAAAGATATGTCTTAAGATTTTAGGGAAAAAAAAATTTTTTTTTTTGGTCTTTTTGAGACAGAGTCTCCCTGTAGCCCCAGCTGGCCTGGAACTCATTCTGTAGACCAAGCTGGCCTCGAACTCACAGATATCTGCCTGCCTCTGCCTCCTGAGTGCTGGGATTAAAGGCATGTGTCACCAGGCCTGGATAATTTGAGTATTTTTTACAGTCCTTCAAATTTACACAGTTTCAAGTCTGTTGCTTAGGTTAATAATTCAAAGACAGAGTAGCGGACAATTTTTTATTGTTGTTTTGACAATGTTTTTTTCAAATATTATTTATTATTTTTATTTTATGTGTATGCGTGTATTGCCTGCATATAGGTAAGTGCACCCATGTTGTACAATGCCCAGAGGTCAGAAGAGGCTGTTGGATCCCCTGGGACTGGAGTTACAGACAGTTGTTAGCTGCCATGTGGGTGCTGGGATTCGAAACCGGGTCTTCTGCAAGAACAACCAGTGTTCTTAACTGCTGAGCCATCCAGCCCAACACATTTTATAATGCAAAATAATTTTAAACTGGAGTTTCCTGTGGCTTAACTTAAGCCTCTGCTTAAATTTAAATGTGATTAAAAATACAGCACTTCACCAGTAGCTCTTCACTTTACCAAGACCCTAAATTTAGGGACAAACAGCAGAAAGGTGGCCAAGCCTGGCAATGGTGGCACATGCCTTTAATCCTAGCACTCGGGAGGCAGAGGCAGGCGGATCTCGTGAGTTCAAGGCCAGCCTGGTCTACATAGTGAGTTCCAGGACAGTTGGGCCTACAGGGAGACCCTGTCTCAAAAAAGACCAAAAATAAAAATAAAGTTGAACAATAATGCCTCAAATCACTGTTACTTAATTGTATACTATAACTACTGCAGAGAAAGAGACCTGAAGGTAAGAGGCAGTTCAACAGCCATATATAACTTCTGCCTCCTCAACCGACAAGGTCAAATTGCCATTTTGATAGTAACAATTGTAGAGGGAGACATAACTAAGTTTTCTTCGTCTATTCACTCACTCATTCAATAAATAATGAAATAAAATGTTCTAACTTTCTTGACCTTTCATGCAAACCTTCCTTTGTTCTCATTCAAAACAGTGAAGATCTGCCCAGATCCAGTCATTCTTTGCCTTAACAATCCCTCCTTACAAACGCTGAACATTTTTTTAATGTAGTACTTAAATAATCTGAAAGATGAGTAGCTACAAAAGGCAAGAAAATGCTAATTGGGAGAAAAAGTTTGTTTTCAACAAAACTAATCAAGACAACCTACAGACAAGCTAAAACTCATGACACATGTGCACTGGAGAACTTAAGAAAGAACTTCTAGAATCAGAAAGAATGAGGCCCAAGTCATCTGTTAAGTCAGACCATCAAAAGAGTTTACCATTGCTACACACATACAGTATTTCTGATCCTCATCCAATATTCTTCCCCAATGCAGTAACAAAACTGAAGTTACAGAAATTTCATTCTATCATTCTCCTACTCAAACTCCTTAATCACTAAGAAAAACTTATTTTAAAAAAGGATACTATGAATAATTATGCTAATATGTAAAACTTTACATGAACACAAGACTACTAGAAATAGAGCTCAGTGGTAGAATGCAAAAAGGCTCATAACAGCTATTAAGAAACTTAAGTATAATTAAAAACTTTGCCACAATGAAATTCTCACGTTCTTTGTGTGTCTGTCTGTGTGTGTCTTTTTTTTGAAGCAGGGTCTCCCTGTAGCCCCAGCTGTCCTGGAACTCACTATGTAGACCAGGCTGGCCTTGAACTCACAGAGATCCGCCTGCCTCTGCCTCCCGAGTGCTAGGACTACAGACATGCACCACCATGCCCAGCTTTTTTTTGTTTTTTTTTCAGTTTTGTTTTGAGACAGGTTCTCTAGTCCCAGCTGTTCTGGAACTCCCTATACCTCCCAAGTGCTGAAATTAAAGGTGTGTGCCATGATGCCAGGCTCTGCATATTTGTCTTTTGAGACAGGGTCTCACTGTGTAACTCTGGCTGGTCTGGGACTCACTATGGCAATCAGGCTGGTCTTGAACTTACAGAAATCCTCTTATCTCTGCCTCCTGAGTACTATGATTACAAAACATGCATCACACCAGCCTCAAGTTTCAATGTAATCTTAATAAAAACCCTAGGACATTTTGTGTGTATGGAGATTGGCAAGTTTATGGAGGCTAGAGAGATGGCTCAGCAGTTAAGAGCACTGGCTGCTTTTCCAGAGGACCTGGGTTCAAATCCCAGCACCGACATAGTGGCTAACAACTGTCCGTAACTCCAGTTCCAGGGGATTTGACGGCCTCTTCTGTCCTCTATGGGCATTGTTATGTCATAGGTGCACTTACCTACATGCAGGCAATACACACATACACATAAAATAAAAATAATAAAGCTGGGTGTGGTGGTGCACATCTTTAATCCTAGCAGAGGCAGGCTCCCTCTAACTTTGAGGTCAGCGTGATCTAAATAGGGAATTCAAAGCCAGCTGGGGCTACAAGGAGACCCTGTCCCAAAAAGACCAAAATATTATTTTTAAATTGGCAAGTTTATTCTAGAATTTATATAGAAATGCAAAAGGCCAAGAATAAATAATATACAAGAAAAAAAACTGAAGGGCTTATACCATTAAGTACCAGGCTTAACTACAGCAAAAAAAAAAAAAGTATAGCACAAGATCAGGGACAGAAAAGGACCTTCATATATATGACCACTCATTTTTCTTTTAAGGATTTTTTTTTTGGTCTTTTTGAGACAGGGTCTCCCTGTAGCTCCAGCTGTCCTGGAACTCACTATGTAGACCAGGCTGGCCTTGAACTCAGAGATCCGCCTGCCTCTGCCTCCCGAGTGCTGGGATTAAAAGCGTGAGCCACTACACCCAACTATGACCACTCATTTTTTAAAAACATTTATTTTTATTTTTTAGTATGAGTGTATTGCCTGCATGTAGGTAAGTACACCCGTGTCATGCAATGCCCATGGAGGACAGAAGAGGCCGTCAGATCCCCTGGAACTGGAGTTACGGACAGTTGTTAGCAGCCATGTGGGTGCTAGGATTTGAACCCGGATGACGACTTGTTTATAACAAAGGAGACAGAGAAAAGGAGTGTCTCTTTAAGGGCAATGGGTCAACTACTCCCCATGCCTGCATACATACCACTCAGGAGGTACAGACTGAAGGATCAAAAGTTCAAAGCCAGCTTCAGCTATATGGTAAGACCCTATCTCAAAAACAAAAACAAAAAACAAGCGAGTCTTGACTTCTTCCTCATGTCACATTAAGAAAAAAATCACTTATAGGCGGATTACAGAGCTATATGGGAATGATAAAACTGAAGATTTAGGGGAAAAAATAGTACAGTATCTTCATGACTCAGAGTGAGCATAAACTTTTAAAATATGACAAAAACACACTAAAAGGAAAAAAACAGTAAAAATTAAATTATTGTTCACTAAAATAAACCAGTAATGAGACACACTGACGTCTTCAATATCAGACTGAATCAGAAAAACTGACACAAATTTGAGGTCAGCCTGGGCTATGTGGTAAGTTCCAGGATGGCCTGGGATACATAAAGAGACTCTGTCTTAAAAAAAAACTTTTTTAAAGACAGATTTTTGTGTGTTGTCTATATCTGTGTGAGTGTATGCACATGTGGCAAGGGTACACATGCCTATGCACGTGTGCAAAGCCACAAGGGTGTACTGGATATTCTCTTCTATTACTCTCAACCTATTCCTTTCAGACAGGGTCTCTCCTTGAACCTGGGACTCATACTTTCTGGGC